AGTAATGGTGGTAGAGGAGGAGGGTATGTGATAGTGGTGGTGGCGATGGAGGATGGTGATAATGATGATGTCACCATTTACAAGAGCTGTAATACGTAATCACTCCTTTCCTGTGTCTTGTATTGACCTTGAAATACAAACACTTTTCCACCTCCTCCTGGCGGCTAAAAATTGCATTCCTTCTTTTGTCTCGTTGGTGTGTGTGTGTGTGTGTGTGTCAGAGGCGTTGATTGGTTGGCTTAGTATCTTTGTTTGTGTCAGAGGCTTTGATTGGTTAGTTGAATACTTTTGCTTACGTCAGGAGGTCTTGATTGGTTGGTTTAATACTCCCTTTGTTTGTGTCAGAGGCGTTGATTGGTTGGTTTAGTATCTTTGTTTATGTCAGAGGCCTTGATTGGTTGGTTGAATGCCTTTGCTTGTTTCAGAGGTCTTGATTGGTCTGCTAAAAAAACTACATATTCTTCTTCCTGTTTCTATAAGTACAATACATTATTCGCTATTAATTCTCTCTTGCTGTACACACACACACACACACACACAGGATCATTACGTGTTTTAAGTTAGTTTTTTAAGACATAAGGAAACGTATCAGGAGTTCATAATGAGGTTGAGGACTAGAGGTTGACGAGGTCGACCTTGGGATGTCTCCTCCGTCTTGACTCCATCCTCACAGCTGGTCGACCTTCAACCACCTGGCTATTATCCTCTATGTCGCCATTGTGAAGCACTGCCGGGAGGAGGAGGAGGAAGAGGAGGGTGGTGGTGGCGGTGTGTGTGTGTGTGTGCGTGTGTGTGTGTGTGCGTGTGTGCGTGTGTGCGTGCGTGCGTGTGCGCGAACGAGACTTTTAAGTACATCAGACACTCTTGAATAAATAACTTAAGTCAATCAATATCAGGTACGATAAACAGGTAACATGTGTAAAGTGGAGGGAAGAGAGAAGGAGGGAGGAAGGGAGGGATTTGGGAGAGTTGGTTGACCCTCTCCCCATTTTCCTCTTTACCTCTAGGCCCACACAATTGGGGGGTAGGAGAGGAGGCCGTAATCTTCTTCTGGTCACCCATCCTCTCTCTCTCTCTCACTCAACGTTTACACTCTCTGAACGTTCTATCATCCCGGTCAGATTAGGCTAAGTATCCCCCCCTGGCATGATAAGATGATTGGCGTCACTAAGCATCATTCTGGGTTTAATATTGACTATATTACATCAGCTTACAGAAGGATATATTTGGCTCTGTATAATCATCCTCAATACCCGCCTTTCCTGACTTAACTGAACTGGGTTTCATCCGTGACTGAGGGAATTTTGTCCTCGTGTGTCTCAAGGTAATAAATAAGTAGGTGTAGGTGGGTGTAGGTAATCACAGGTGGGTGTAGGTGGTCACAGGTGGGTGTAGGTAGTCAACAGGTGGTGTAGGTAGACATATGGAGGAGGTCGTTATCCTAGCTGAACTCAAGCGAAGGTCCAGGCTGCCTCCCACTGACCTACGCTTCACAAACCCACGCTGAATATTTTGCCCCTTTTGCACCTCATCCTGAGTTTATTCCTACTTATTTCTCCATCATATACACCCTCAACATGTGCCTGGAGTATAAGGTAGTGGTATGAGTGGAGTATAAGGTGTGTGGGTTGGGGTGTAAGGCAGGAAGGAAGTACTGAAGAAGAATCACTATTTGGCATCATCTGTTTTCTGTCGCATTCCTCAGGTTCCCGCCATCAGTGTTACCATGTCCCCCTTCTCATAGCTCCTGCAGTGTTACCATCCTCGTCACTCTCGCACGTGTTATTTTATGCCTTTTAAGAATGTATTACGTACAAGAAAATGGGCAAAAATCTAGCTTAGGGAAAAAAAATTGGTGTGTTAGTTTAGGCACTCAGTAAGATAAGAAGTTGGGAATGTTTATATGTGTAACTGATCGTCCAAACTCTCTTTATATATGAAAAAAAAATGCGTTTTTATCAGTTACGCCACCTGAGTTATGTTAATTATGTACCTTTTATGATATTTAGAGAATGCATGAAAGTAAAGTATGTTGATATGTTCTCGTAGCTTTAAAAATATATATATATATGTATTGAGGATCTCTGTAAACATACATGGACATCTTGATCTGCCCAGTACATGCCCAGTCATCTCGGTAAGGTCTCTGTAAACAAACTTAACGTGGCCAACTTGAACACACCTTCCTCGACGACCAGGTGTAGGTGTAGGTAAGATAAATCAACAGTATCGCTCCATCCGGGTATCTCATTGTCAAGGTTGAAGGAGACACACAATTGTTTTGAGAAGTCTATTGTTGCATACTAATTATAACAATGACGGCACCACTGCTATTAATATGCCATGCCATATACTAATGATGATTGTATTTATTTTCCGGTAATCACAGAGGCGTCTATTAACCGCCTATGATCAAACACTATAATTAATGTTTTAGATCTTATTAGTAAACTTAAAGGAGATAATTCCCCTTAAATGAGGCGTATAATTATATTTGAGCTGGTCATTAATGAGTCACAGGTGATGTTGTGGGTCAGGTGAGATGTTGAACTGGTTCCTTGTTGCTGTGTCAATCAGGTAACAGGTGTGTATGAGTGGGATGAGAGGGTGGGGGTGAGTGGGAGGTGGGGTATGGTGAGAGGGAGGTGTTGTGGGGGTGAGAGGGAGGGAGGCTGAGGTGAAAGGGAGGTATGGTGAAAGGGAGGTAACATGAGGGTATTATTATTATCCTCTCGACCTGAGGGAGGGAGAGGTGAAGGCATAAGGGACACACACACACACACACACACACACACACACACACACACACATACAATAGGTTAGGTTGGGTTAGGTTAATATTTTGGTTAAATAATCCAGGACGGTGGAGAGGGGTGTCTTCAGGTGATCCGTAATATCAACAAGATGTTTACAGCGTCACCAGACAACAACGGGTTAAGGTCACGTCTGAGGATTAGCTTAATCCTCTGACAGATCACTCCCCTGGATTATCTGATTGGTACATCATATATATCCTGACTGGCATTTCTTGATATGACTGGTGGATGGACGAGTGTGTGTGTGTGTGTGGGAGGGTGGTAGTGGGTGGCTGTTAATCTTGGACAAGGGATCCTGGACCTTCAATTTTGGACCATGGAACCTAGATTCTGAACCCCTGGACCCAAGACTCTGGACCATGGAACCTAGACCATGAACCTTTGGAACCATGAACCCTGAAACCATAGGACCTGAACCCTGGAGCCATATCTAGGGCGGGGTGCTTGTGGCCTATCGCGTAAGATCAGGGTGTAGGGTGATGAGGAGAGGCGACTACACCCTCCCAAACCTTTCCCTTTCCCTCCCATACCCTCCCATGCTCCTTCCTTACCCTCCCATGCTCCTCCCATACCCCCTACACCCTCCCATGCACCTTCCTTACCCTCCCATGCTCCTTCCTTACCCTCCCATGCTCCTTCCTTACCCTCCCATGCTCCTCCCCTACCATCCCACACCCTCCCATATTTCTCCCACACCCTCCCACAATCCCAAACAACATCAGATTTACAAGACTCTATCTTAACTGGATACGTTCACTTAGCACCAATTACAAGACAAAATTAATGTACTGAATCTATGTGAATCTGGACTTGGGTTGAGAAATATGAAAGGAACGTGTGTGTGTGTGCGTGTTGCCTCATCGTTAATTTAATGGCATTGGTGACTGTCTCGTCTTGATGTGTGTGTGTGTGTATTGGGATATTGCATCATCGCTATTGTAGTAATTGTTATTATTGTTCTTGTATCAATGATCACTTATCAGTAACCTTGTGGAACTTATTTATTTTTTATCATCCCGTTACATCATCATCGTCATCGTCACCATCATCATCATTAGAGTATAGTGATGGACGTGTGCTTGATTTATAGTGTTATTTAATTCTATCCCAACTTTATGGCCACAACGTTCATACAATTAAGTGTAGTGAGGGATGAATCATACGCATTATCTACTTGGGGGAATGACGTGAATTTAACCAGAATCTGAGCGGATCAAGCTATTTAATGTAACTTGGGTAACCTATATAATCGGTAATACCGCTATTCATGTACACAAAACCTTATTACCGGGTCAGGTACAGTCAGTAGTGGACGCGGCACACAGCGTAAGGAGTTACTGTGGGAGTGGCCAGGTTGTGTGTGGCCCACTTGTCCAGGTGACCTAGGCTTCTTAGGCCATCTTTAGAGGTGTTAGCGCCTCAGATGACAAACTTTACCCAACATCTTAAATTAAGTTTGTGGGTCTAGGGGTGAAAGGGAATATTTTTTTGGTGTGAATTAATACATGGGTGGTAGTAGTGACTGTCAGAGGTAGTGTTGTAGAAGGTGGATGGTAGAAAGTTGGTGCGTGGACTGACGGCGTCCAACCCTCTGTGCCTGGCGTGGAGTGGCGCCGCCGCTTCCTGTCACAACTTGACTGCCACGACACTGCTGCCGCTGTTGTGTCGCCCTTAACTTACTTTGTTTACTTAGTAGATCTGGCTGAATGGTTCTAGCTTTATCTCCAGCTCTTCGTCTGTTTCCCCTTTGTTTACTCTTTACCATGACGGGCGGGCTAGTGGCTGCAACATACAGTATAGCTCAGGGTGTAGTCTAACGTGGCATAGTGACACTGTTGTTTTAGTCACCGCCCTGCCGTCACTCTTGGTGATACTTGTACCACCTCCCATGGGTTGATGTTGTCACCTTAACCATTTGTTTCTTTCTGGTCTGAAGTTAACTGTTTGAGGACGATGGCTTAAGCTGGCATGCTTCAGGGGTTAAGCCTTCACGCTTAAAGTTTTAACCTATGAAACCTAAGAAACATCTCCCTAAGAACTCAAGCATAGAATGTGATTTTAAATTTAATAGGATCACGGTATAATACTACTGTACTGTATTTAGATTTCACTTTTGTCTAAGGGTTTCAGCTCCACCACCGACATTCAGAGTAACACCAATATTAATTTCAATTCTCTCCACAGACATGGCCAGGTCGATGATCGCGCTCTTCATCGTTTCCTTTTTCTTCGTGTTCGTGGCCTTCTGGACTGGCGTGGCCGGGTGCTGGCGACGATCTCCTGGTAACATCGCCTCTACAGCTATCCTCATGCTTCTCGCCTGTAAGTACTGTTCCTTAGTCATGGGCCGCATTACGATATAGGTATTTTTCTGCGGGCCAACCCACCAAAATCTATACCCTACCTAATCCAAAACGCCAAAAGTAATGTTAATATTGTATTAGCATAGACAGTGAAACAGTTTATCCTCACATCCACCTTACGACATTTTCACTTTACATTCACAGTCTTGGCAAAGTTTCTTGGCATTTAACAAAAGATGGGTGAAACAGTCTGTGAATACGTAGATTTTTCCTACAATTACAACATTTTTCTTACTTATGAGGAACTACAGTGAAATAACTTATAGTTGACAGTGTACCCCTCCCCAGTGTATTCCTCCCCAGTGTATTCCTCCCCATTGTACCCCTCCACAGTGTACCCCTCCCCAGTGTACCTCCACAGTGTACCCCTCCCCAGTGTACCTTCCCCAGTGTACCCTCCCCAGTGTACCCTCCCCAGTGTACCCCTCCCAGTGTACCCTCCCCAGTGTACCCCTCCCCAGTGTACCCCTCCCAGTGTACCCCCTCCCCAGTGTGCCCCTCCCCAGTGTACCCCTCCCCAGGTGCCCTCCCAGTGTACCCTCCCCAGTGTACCCCTCCCCAGTGTCCCTCCCCAGTGTACCCCTCCCCAGTGCACCCCTCCCAGTGTACACCTCCCCAGTGCACCCCTCCCAGTGTACCCCTCCACAGTGTACACCTCCCTAGTGTGCCCCTCCCCAGTGTACCCCCTCCAGTGTAACCCTCCCAGTGTACCCCTCTCCAATGTCCCTCCCCAGTATACCCTCTCCAGTGTTCCCCTCCCCAGTGTGCCCCTCCCCCTGTACCCTCCCCAGTGTTCCCCTCCCCAGTGTACCCCTTCCCACTGTACCCTTCCCAGTGTACCCTCCCCCAGTGTACCCTCCCAGTGTACCCTCCCAGTGTACCCTCTCCAATGTACCCCTCCCCAGTATACCCCTCTCCAGTGTTCCTCCAGTGTACCCCTCCCAACTGTACCCTCCCCAGTGTACCCTCCCCAGTGTACCCTCTCCAATGTACCCTCCCCAGTATACCCCTCTCCAGTGTTCCTCCCCAGTGCCCCCATCACCCTCCCCAGTGTACCCTTCCCACTGTACCTCTCCCAGTGTACCTCTCCCCAGTGTACTCTCCCCCGTGTACCTCCTCAGTGTACCCCTCTCCAGTGTTCCCTCCCAGTGTACCTCTCCCCAGTGTTCCCTCCCCACTGTACCCTCCCCAGTGTACCCTCTCCAGTGTTCCCCTCCCAGTGTTCCTCCTCCCAGTGTACCCTCCCCTGCACCCTCTCCAGTGTTCTCTCCAGTGTTTCCTCTCCAGTGTTTCCCCCCAGTGTACCCCTCTCCAGTGTACCCCTCTCCAGTGTACCTCCCAGTGTACCCTCCCAGTGTACCCCTCTCCACTGTACCCCTCTCCACTGTACCTCTCCACTGTACCCCTTTCCAGTGTACCTCTTCAGTGTACCCTCTCCAGTGTTTCCCTCCAGTGTACCCTCCCAGTGTACCCCTCCCCAGTGTACCCCTCCCCAGTGTACCCCTCCCCCAGTGTACCCCTCCCCCTGTACCCTCCCACTGTACCCCTTTCCAGTGTACCCCTCTTCAGTGTACCCTTCTCCAGTGTACCTTCTCCATACCCCCTCCCAGTCTCATTTGTGTTGACATTGTGCCTCTCCCTGGCAACATTACGGTGACTGCTGTGTTGTGTTCCAGGTTTGTTCTCAGCTGGTGGCATGGGACTCTGGCACGGCGTGGAATACTATGAGGAAGAAAAACTCAAGACCGAGCCCTGGAAAGCATCTTGGGATAAGGTAACATGATATGGCCACTACACGTATCTTTAAGTTGTGAAGAGGAAGAGTTAGCTGAGGTATATCTGATTTAGTCGGACTTACCAGACTTACAGCGGGACTTATAAGATTACTTGAGTCAGCCTGAACAGTGAAAGATTATTCCAAAGAAAGGAATATCAGTCCAGTCAGTAAAGTAGGAAATTAACCTAGAGATCCTGTCTTACCCATGGCTCATACTTCTGTCACTCTTATCATGCTGCAAGTTTGAATGGGTGGTAAGCAGTAACTGTGGTAGAACCAAAAATGGTTAGAAGAGAGGAAACTGAACTTCACATGTGACAAATAGTTTTAGACTATTAACTGCAAACTAGATCTAGTTATGAAGAAGAGGTCTTAATTCCTTGTATTTGTGAAAGAATTTTAATGCACATATTTGAAGGTGATTCTAATAGTGTACTGTATGCAATATTCTGTGGTAGGTGGGGCCAGGCAGTAAGTTCTTTCATTTAGTAAGTGAGTCAAACTCACAGTTAGTCAAGTTCCAAATTCTCAAAGATTTGTACAATAAATTTTCCTCAGCTAAAGGCCAAAGATAACATCTAAAATTAGAAAAGAATTACACTGAGATTCTGTTTCAGTTTGAAGCAGTGTCTTAACACTGCATGACAAACTTATAGTACAGAGTCTTTGTAAATCTGGAACGTTGATAATTATTTATAGAGTTGAGACACTAATAACAACCCAGCATTAGGAAACAGGAATCAAAAGGAAGGAACTTCTTCCTCACTGTCACTTTTCACTCCTCTTTTGTGATGCACACATGAGCACCAACACCCAGTGGCCTTCCTGCTGCCTCATATATCACACAAACATAAAAGTTAACCATTTTTGTTCTCCTTTATTTGATTTTAATGAACAGTACAAAACATTGGTTTAGGTAGCTGGGAGGATACAGCATACACCTTCTGTCCAAAGAGTCATTGGTTTGTGCTCAGGGCTTCCCAGTCCATCTAGATGTGAATGAATACCTAATACTATAGGTTGGGGAGTGAATGTGGTCAGGTAGTGCTGGCCATATTACCTCCTCGTGTACTGAAGGCTTAGTGTGTACTGATAATATCCACTCTGTCTCTAATGAGCCCTCAGACCTATGGGATCCATCTACACTTTTTACTTATTATGAATATTATCCATGTTTTATAATTTATTTTCTCCTCTATAATCTTCTATAACATGATTAAATAGTTCTTTAGTTAAATATACAGTCATTCCTTGGTTATAGCAGACTTGGTTATCGCGGTTTTCGTTATCACGCCTCCATCAAAATCTGCACACCTGCTGTTATAACGCATTTTTCAAGCCGAGAATTTCGTTATCAAGCAGTTGCCTCCAGGTGTTTTACCCATTTGCTTCACCTACATCTATTGAGGATAAAATCTTTCACCTACAAATTGACAATAACACATTTGCTGTAATCAGACATATCTAAGTTGCCTCAACAATTGCAACCCCAATTGCAATTTCAAATTCTGTGTCATTACCAAGGAATAACGAGTTCTCGGGTGCACTCTAAGAAAACCCAAATCATGTATTCCTGGTAAGCCAGGTAAGGCAATGTGTGAAGCTGTTAACTTCAATCCTGCAAATATGTGATATAGCACTTGTGTTGGCCCTGAAGAGGGTAACTAAAATAAGAATTGGTCCTCGAAAGGTATTGAGTTTGACACCACTGGTGTAAGACTTACATTTTTGGTGGTTTTGGGCCAAAAATTAGATTTTGCTGAAAATCACAGTATAGGTACAACTGAGCTTGCTGATTATGTATATGTGGTCCAAGATTCGATTGCAGAGTAATTATTGGCCAAAATAAGAACATAAGAACATAAGAATGGAGGAAACTGCATGGCCTATTGGATCTATACTGGGAGTCTCCTTATAACCAACCCTATTGCTCATATGAGCATCCAACCTATGTTTGAAGCAATTCAGCATATTCGAGTTAATGATGATATTTGGAATCTTGTTCCATTCATCCACTACTCTGTTTCCAAACCAGTGTTTACCTATTTCACGCCTAAATCTAAATTTGTCTAATTTAAAACCATTGTTACGAAGTTCGCTCCTGGTTGGATAGTTTGAGTACCTTTTGTAATGTCCTTTGTTTAGCCCTGCCTTCCACTTATACACCTCTATCAGGTCGCCCCTCGCTTCACGTCTCTCAAGGGAGTGCAAATTAAGATGCTTTAACCTGTCTCTATACTCAAGGTTCCTAATGCCCGGGATTAGTCTTGTCATTCTCCTCTGAATTCTTTCCAAGGATTCTATATCCATTCTGTAATGCGGACCCTTGAATGACCCTTGAAAGATTTTACTGACATTTTTCAATGCTAATTACTCATCAACTATGGGTTTCCAAGGTGTGATTTAGGGTTTGTGTGTTATTATGAAAGTTAAATTAGTTAAACCCCTTAAATTTCAATTATGAGAAAAAAGTATTTTGTCAAAAATTTTTAAGGTGTAAGACAGGGATGTCAAACTCATGTCCGCGTGATAACCAAGGGATGACTGTACAAACCCAGTGACATGGTTAAATATTCTCTGGTTTGATAATTAATTAAAGCAAATATTAAACTGAAAGTAGTGTTGAATATACAATTAATTAATGAAAGAATAATTTGTTTTTAAATGTTGAATGTATAATGCAGTTACCTCACATTATTTAACACATTAAAGAATCAAATAACTAACTAATTCCATGAAACACAAGATGCCCCTCCATCACCACCACCACACTGTACTGCACATTATGTCCAGGTTCATTAGTTTGTCCTGTGTCCTGTCCTATGTCCTGTAACCTGTGTTCTATGTCCTGTAACCTGTGTCCTATGTCCTGTAACCTGTGTCCTATGTCCTGTAACCCCTGTCCTATGTCCTGTAACCTGTGTCCTATGTCCGTAACCCCTGTCCTGGTCCTAACCCCTGTCCTATGTCCTGTAACTCGTGCCTATGTCCCAAAACCTGTCCATGTCCTGTAACCGTCCTATGTCCTGTAACCTGTCCATGTCCTGTAACCTGTGTCCTATGTCCTGTAACCTGTGTCCTATGTCCTGTGTTCTAGGTCTTGTGTTCTGTGTAATGAACTAACGTTACAAATTACAAAAATAATGTCCAAAAATAGTATGAACATTACACTAAGACTCCAATATATATAGCATATTTTAATTAGATACACTCATTGACACCGTTTAGGGGAATAGATTAAAAAAACAGAATCTTATCCATAAATTCTGTCCAATATATTTTACCTTTGTTGTCAAATTAATCTGTCTAGTTAAGGTAAAGTCTCAGTGTAATACTAGTTATTTCTTAATGTCGTTTTAGATTTTTTATTGATTTTTGCTTAAATCAACTAGTTAGGTTCATTGTTAGAGCTTAGTCACATAGTTAATTCATCAGACAGTTACTTCAGAATCAGGAAAAAATGGCAAATTTCACCTACTCACGACTTCATCATTATTCTTACACTACAGTACTTCACTCTTAGTCCCCAGCAACACTTCAGTCCTTCTAACAAGTCCTATTACATCAAGGAACATATGTGTATTACCTGGACAGAAAAAAAGCTTTATTTAATTCATTTTTAAGTTGAAGTTTATTGTATTATGTATAGAGTAACAATACTGTTGTCAGTGTAAATGTTGAAGTTGATGTCTCATGTTTTAGTGTGATGGTGGACTCTTTATTTCTGTCCTTGTAACTTTGTTCTATTCATCATTTCTTTTTCTTTTCATACCACTTATAAATTGTCTGCTTTTCTCTATAGATTTATTTTCTAATGAAGTAATTGTCATTTAGTGGCTCCTTTACTGTGTTCTTGTAAATCTTTCGTCCCTCTTATGCTCCTCCAATCAGTCTTCCATTTCATCCTTGCCTTCCCCATTAGACCTTGCAGGAAGCCACCATCATCCAGTACGACTGGTCTTACATGATCTCGTGGATCGGCACACTGGCCTTCTGTCTGTTCCTGGGTGCATCGCAGTGCATGCAAGGAGAACAACAACGTGAACAGGCTAAGCAGATGCAGTACATCATGCCAGGTATCGGCCGTGCCACTCCACCATCCACTCGTCCAACAATGTGTCCACCCACCATCACAAACACTAACTTGCATGACCCTTAACCGTGCATGATGCTCGTACTAATTCCTTGCCAAGAAACCCTTGTTAGGTGTCCTAAAGTGTACATAGCTGCTGCCAGCCTAGAATAGCAACAGCTTTAGCAGGAGAATTGGCTGGTAGCAGTTTAAGGCTGGTAGCTGGCACCAAGTTTCTTTTGGTCCATGGAGCAGATTAATGCGGTCAGGCTTATTTAGTTAACGCCGGGTTGTGGTGTTACAGCTGCTGAGTGACAACACTGGCGTCGTGTATGACTGGTCCTACTTCATCGCTCTGATTGGTGTTGGCTGGACACTCATCTCAGCCCTGCTGTTCTCGGCGCTGGTCTGTGTGCCTGCGTAGCGAGAGGGAACGTGAGGATGCTAAGAACATGGCCTACCTCATGCCTGGTAATGCCACAAACACCGTGGCTTTGTAACTGACTACAGTACCTGGGTTAACCAGAGTCTTCTCAACCAACTACCTCCTAGTCCAACTAGTACTTCATTATTTTCTTTTAACTCTTACCTCAAGGGCGACATTATACAGTACGTACTTTGTACCTTCATTTACAGCAAGTGTCCTGTACTCAATCCCTGGAATGTAAAGTTCATAATATCTATGCCCCATACTCTTATTCACTATCTACTACTGTATGTACAAATCTGTACTTTTTGTACCATATAACCTATAGTTCAAGAGAACCCTTTTGCATGGTTTGTAAACACTTAAGATTGAAGGAACATTTACTCTTTATCTCAAAGTGATTTTCCTCACCAAAAATGGGAATGTTTACCAAGTACAGGTACAGTACAGTACTTTATTTACTACATACTGTACCTATGATAGAGCTCCCAAAAGTAATAGATAAAATATTTGCCATAGGCTTATTAATGTTGATTTAGCTATGAAATAAACAAGTGAGCTATGTATTCTTATGAACATAGAAAAAATTAGATTATTGAAATGGAAGGAAAGTGAGAATGGCTTAACATGAGAAATTAGAGAGAGAGAAAATTAGGGGAAACACAGAGGAAAAAACACTTGCAAGTCTGTTGATAGTTTAGTGACTCTAAAGTGTGAGGTTGTTTGCATGTAAAAAAGGTAAAGTAAATCTTTTTCCTGTTGATGGTCAAATAGGTTCAAACACTTTATACATAAAATAAAAGTTTCAGTTCATATTCAGGTATAATCGTATAGTACAGGTACATGTAGTACAGTAATTCCAATATGATGCCAGTATTATTAGTTGTGTGTCCATAGGAGTGTGAGGTAAGAGAGTCCATTGCTTATACAGAATGAAAAGTTTTATATTCTTACATGGTATTTTTGTTGTTGTGTTTTCAGGATGTCTACTGGTCTGGAAAACCTTGATAAGGCAGGGAATTTTATTTGGGGCTGGAAAAGGCAGGGAATTTTACACATAAACCTGGAATTTTATGTGAATTCAGTTCAACTTCAAAATATTGTTATTTTGACAGATACCATAAATTGATGCTCTACTATATGATAGGTAAATAATTAAATTTTTAGGAAAAAATTCCGATAAATAATCCACTCCAATAACTGAATTGTTTGTGTAACTATAATATTTCATGTTTGCGATCAAATAACAAAATACTGTACAGTATAGTCTGGATTTACGCGGTCAATTGAACCCGTGGAGGTCCACGTAAAAACGGCACGTTAATGAAATAACAGAACATATGGGATTAATTGAAATAGAGACTGGGCCTAATTTCAAACCCAATTTCTTGCCTTTAATAATAACACGCACGTTGTAGTAAAATAGTATCTTAACTTAGGAGGTATGCACACATAATATAGAAGAAATATCAATAAAAGAATAATATAATGCACCAGGTAAAGAAAAATCAAGGTTTAACACTCACGTTAGTAGAAGAGATGGGTCGGTACACGTGGATGGGGGCTGGCCCAGGCAGAGGGTGATGGTGGCTCCCAGGCGGAATCAATGTCACTATCCACTGGCTACAGACGCCAGCCTCCCTGACAAATCTCAAAGTCAACATCACCGTCACTATCACTGACTTGGGCTGGCTGTGTGGGCTGCGGCGGAAGCCCCGTGATGTTACGCTGATGGCTATGTTGATGTGTTCATGATACATCGCGGATGTACTGCTCCATACCTTGCTCTAGATGGTTATTAAGACTTCATACCATTGATTGTCAGGGTCGTTGAAAGGATGAGCTTGAGCTTCTGCAAACCGATGGTATTCCTTTACATTACCAGCGTTAACGCCTGTTCTTCGGCTAATACCTGCCTCCTCGCTGACGTCATCGCTCTTCAACATTCTCGTCGGCAGCCCAGGATCCCCTGATTACTCCATAATGTTCGCTTGGTGGTCTCCGGAGAAGCCTGCAGCTGTAACACTCTGTGCAGCTTTCTTTCTGCAAGGTCCACTGCCACTGCAACAGACTGAACCCCACCAGTCACAGGTTGCCCTGCTCTCCCACCTGATACCCACATAACACATGCCACGCATGACAATCGCTGCCACAGACAGCTGCCCCCATGCTCTACCCAAGAAATCAACAGCTTTGACGCTGAATTCTTCCAAAACTGTTTGATGTAACTTTGCTCTGCCAACCTTTCTTGGTCGTCATCACGCTTCGCTTAACAGTGTCACTTCCAGGTTCAACTCCGCCTTGGTGCGTTGGTCAGTCATTATGAGCCGAAACGTCTTTTGTGGAGAAAGCAGCTTCACATTACAAATTAATTCTTGGATCCATGGGCTGGATTAATGACGTAGTGTTGGGAGAAGGAAGACCAATTTTTACGTTGGGGTGACGATCCAACAGTAGGGGCGAGTGTCCTGGTAAGTATGTCAGAAGCAACAAATTGTTGAATGGAACATACTGTTGTTCGCAGAATCTCTTTTCACGTCGGAACAAAACACCGTCAAACCAGGAGAGGACAGACCAGTGAACATCCACGCTTTACGGCGTGTTAGCCAGTAGATACTAGCCATTAAGTGTCCATGTTCTGTAGTATGGTTTATGGCTGTGTGGATCACCGATAACTTGAGCTTACAGGTACCGAGGCATTGGTGGTAAACAGGGATCGGGTGATGCGCCTCCTTCTGCAACTTCTGGCCTCGACACTTGCTGGCAGACTTGACAACGAAGGTCTTGGTAGGTAGTTTCCAAACAGACCAAAGATTCATCCATGTTGGAACACCTGGTCATCGGTGGGTACTGTCCTTTTCCTCCATAACTGCAAAATGGATAGAAAATCACTCACAACACGGTCAGCACTGGCTTTCACCTCACCTTCAACAATGCTAATGTTGGTTATCTTGTTCTCTTCTAAACCCTTTGCAGCCACCCAGTGGAAGCAGTGAAGGTTTTGCCTACCCCATCTTGTAGATGCCACTGCTACGCACAGTTCACGATGCATTTCTTGAACTGACTGGGCGTGGTCCACCCGCCATGTTTGGTCTTGCTCATCTAATCAAGTAGCTCACTGTTAAATTTCGTCTGAAGCAGCACCTATTCTGACAGTAATTCATCATTGAAGCACCCAGGACTTTGTGATGCCTATGTGTACTTTTTATCTTGGCTGGCATCCTTCTTGATCGTCCTGATCAGAGATCTGTTCACACGTTATGCTGGCTACGCCAAATCAACTTGCCTTTGTACCTTTCTCCAACTTCTTGCACGATCTAGTACTTCCTTAACTTCACAGCGTGAAGCTCTGCCGGTATCTTCTAGGCTTGGGGCAGGTAGTTCGCTGTTTTTCTGTAGGGTCCAGTAGCTATTGTTGCGAGATTAGCGGGCAATAATGAGACAATTGTATACGCCGATAGCTGAGAAACACTGAGAGTAGTCCGCCAGGTCAGCTTACCTTCCTTTTGGTGGCAGGGCACGTCATATTACATTAAACTAATCACAGCTAGCGGGGAGGAGGCGATGCGGCCCAATCATTGAGTCCGGGATATGTCATATGTATCAGCTATAAATGCGAACAATGACATACTGAGCACCCTTCCGGAAGCCAGCGCTCTGCTTATGTTTATCACATATTTTTGAATACAAAATGGCGCCCCGCATAAATGACCAAATTTACTGTAAACAAAGCATTTCAATTCTGGTAAGGCACCTCGTAAATGACCAAACGCAGTTACAAAAAAGCGTAAATCCAGACTACAGTATACTGTATGTACCTGAGCACGCCATTGCAAATTCCAGATCCCGTTTCGATTGTAGGTAATTAGTTGCCTTTAATGAGGCCGGTATTCTTAGGACTTTTTCAATGCTAATTACTAGCCAACTATGGGTTTCCCAGGTGAGATTTTGGTGTTTTTGTGTTCTTATGGGAGTAATTAATTGGTTAAACCCCTCAAATTCCAATTCCGAGAGAAATGTCAATTTTGGTCAAAAAATTATTAAGGTATAAGACTTATGTTTTTGGCCAAAAATTTGATTTTGCTGAAAATATCCATATAAGTACTCTTGAGCTATATAATCCTCATTTCGATTGGGGGTAATTAGTGGCCATAATGAGGCTTGGAGTATTTTTAGGACTTTTTCAAAGCTTAGGACTTTTTCAATGCTAATTACTAGCCAACTATGGGTTTCTCAGGTGAGATTTTGGTGTTTTTGTGTTCTTCTGGGAGTAATTAATTGGTTAAACCCCTCAAATTCCAATCCCGAGAGAAAAGTCAATTTTGGTCAAAAAATTACTAAGGTATAAGACTTATGTTTTTGGCCAAAAATTATATTTTGCTGAAAATCTCAATATAAGTACTCTTGAGCATGCTGATTGCAACGATATGATCCTCGTTTCGATTGGGGGGTAATTAGTGGCCTTAATGAGGCTTGAAGTATTTTTAGGACTTTTTCAATGCTTTGGACTTTTTCAATGCTAATTACTAGCCAACTATGTGTTTCCCATTTGAGATTTTGGTGTTTTTGTGTTCTTCTGGAAGTAATTAATTAGTTAAACCCCTCAAATTTCAATTCCGAGAGAAAAGTCTATTTTGGTCAAAAAATTACTAAGGTAAAAGACTTATATTTTTGGCCAAAAATATGATTTTGTTGAAAATCTCAGTATATGTACTCGTGAGCACGCTGATTGCAAATCTATGATCCTCGTTTCGATTACAGGGTAATTAGTGGCCTTAATGAGGCTTGGAGTATTTTTAGGACTTTTTCAATGCTTTGGACTTTTTCAATGTTAATTACTAGCCAACTATGCGTTTTCCAGGTGAGATTTTGGTGTTTTTGTGTTCTTCTGGAAGTAATTAATTGGTTAGACCCCTCAAATTCTAATTCCGAGAGAAAAGTCTATTTTGGTCAAAAAATTACTAAGGTAAAAGACTTATGTTTTTGGCCAAAAATTTGATTTTGCTGAAAATCTCAGTATATGTACTCGTGAGCACGCTGATTG